TAATTTTTATGACCCCCTTTCTGGGACACAGCTCTATTGCTTCTTGTTAATGGTCTATAGCATTATTTGCCTTTGTCTTAGCTCTGGAGCTGGCAAAGTTACTCAGTGAAGCGGGTTCCCTTAAGCTAGCAATAAGTAACAGTGATTGCAAGCCCACTTCTGTAAATGCAAAAACTAACACATTCTGAGAAATCTTTCCCTCACAAAAACTTATTTGCTTCTGGCCACTGCTTGGCTATCTTAAAAGTATCTTAGGAATTTCGTTTAATCATCTGTGCTGGTTTGTTTTCTTAGCTGGTGAAATTAATGAGCCTTTTCAAAACTAGAGGTGCCATCAGAGTGAGCTGCTGCAACAAACAGAGAGAAGTAAGCCCAAGTACATAACCACTTTGTTATCACTGAGGTTGTGGCCAAATCTTAGGAGGTGTTCTACTGCAGGAGAATCATAATTTCTAGAACAATCATAGAAGTGAAGTAGACAGTCCAGCTAAGTTCACTACCTCTGCTGCCCTTCTGGGAACCAGCTATACCAGCTGTAAAACTGAGGCAAAGATACTTTGACTAACATCAGTGCTGACAAGGAAAGAACAAAGAATTCTGATGAAAGCCAAATCCACTCTATTAAAACAAAAATAAAATTAAATTTTAAGCATACAGTTTGAAATTCAGGTAGATTACCAAGAAAACATTAATAGAAAATTATTTACCTGGGTCTAAGCAGAGTTATAAAGTTCTTGTAAGGAGCTCTGAGATTGAGAGATCTGGCCTAGATTTTTTTTTTTTCCCCTGAAATAACATACACATACAGTAATATTTACAATACTTCAGAAAGCTAGAACATTTTGAAACTAAGAGTATGTCCATGTGTCTAAAGCACAGAGTATGGATCTTGTGAATATTTAACATATTACAAAGAGATCTGTTTTCTAACTAGATCAGACCTGCTTTAAAAGTCCAAGACATTCATGTATGTGGTCAGACTTGTGGCTAGTTACATTAATCAAACTTTTCAAATCTTGTCTCAGTGCAATATTTTAGTCACATCACTGTAAGTTTTAATATCAATATAAAATATAATGAATACGTAATTCAACTGGCATTTTCAGAACTAGAAACTTTGTCAGGGCATCGTAACATTTTATATTATATTTTAAAAGCATATTTGCATAAGTTTTTAACTAGGATGGTCAGCAAAAATATTTAATTTAATTCAGAAAAATTCTGTATGCCTTTGGAAATCAGATGAACTATTTAAATCTGTTTAGAAGCTGAATGTTATCCAGTCAAACATGCATAATCATTGCTTAATAATAGCAGTAGTAGTAATAATAATAATCTAATATAATCTCTACTAAAATAAAAATTGTTACAAAACAAAAAGAAAAGTATTCCCTCAGTGGCCACTCAGAAGTGCTCTCACACATATTAGCTGATACACAAAACTATTAATCACATCAGATCACAGAATTGTGGTTGTTAGCCAATTCAATAAAAGATTAAAAAAATTGGGAATACTTTATAATTTGTTCACATTTAAAATGTACCTGGTACTTGAATGAGTTGTCTTATACTGTTATTCTCATTCTCGGCTTGGGCAATATTTGCGATGAAAGATCTTCCTGTCAGACTAAAAATGGAAGAATGCGGGGTATGTGTCTTCTAAATAAATAAATAAAAAATTCTAAAAAACCTAAGTGGGCCTATTTACCTTTCAAATTCAACAGATTCTTGGCCATCTGTTGCTCATAACATTGATTTTCATTCCTCTTGGCATCATACCTGCTGAAGTCAGTTCATATTAATGTCAGAGATGATGCATAAAGAATAAAAAATACATCTGCATTTCAGATACTGAGGCTCCAGAGGAAGGAATACAATATCAAACCAGCAGATAGCTGCATTCACCTAAAGAAACTCCATGTTGTTTGTGCTTCGTGGGTAGCCTTCTGTTTCTAGGTCTCAAAGAGTTAATGACTGAATCAGGGTAGGAAGGAACAGCAGATGTTTATTTTGAAGGTAAATATACTATTATGTAGCTCGTGGTCCAATGATCAGTATGCAAGTATATGAAGACTGGGGATGGCTATGATGTACTGTGACAAACAGCAAAGTGACATGCCGATTGATCTGCGAGCCCAGTGGAGAAGCCAGTCAATACCAGTAAAATTCATGAAGTGTTTCTTTCTGCCAGTTTGGCTGACATGCCATTGATGCATGCCGGAGAGCTAATGTTGTTAGTCAAGCTGTATCGCAGCATCTGCCACTTCCACAAACCCATCAGTGACACCCATGGGTAAGATGGCATTTGGTTTATGTAGCTGGTGACAAACTGATCAGTCATTTCTTAGCAGTCACCAGTAGTTTCTCAGCAATCTTGCAAAGACAAAGAAATGTGTGTTCACACAGTAATAGGCTCTCATCCTTGTACATTATACATGTGTTGACCTGGTTTACTTTAATATGTGAACGTCAAGCTTCTGGTCCTCAGTCACTGGTTTCTGCAGCAAACTTGACATGGCACAGTTTCTATATGTCATAGCCATATTTATCCCCTTTTCTCTCTACTTGTCTCTGTGCACCAACCCATCAATAATTTCCTGAAATTCAGCTATTTCTCTTCTCAATATGAAATGAGACTTGATAAATAATAACATAGCAAATGAAATTATACATAATGCTGTAGGAGTGAAAACAGCAGAAAACCAGGACAAAAAAAATCTAGCAGCAATAAGCAACACACCTACCTTAAAAAACCCTCCCTTATGTTTTCTTCTGGATTGGGATTGATTGATTTAGGAACTATTTCTGGTTTCAAGAAAGCCAACAGAAAAATCTCCCACTGACTGCCAAAACATAACCTAGCCCACTGGTTTTCTTTCATACTGCCTAAAACCAAATCTAGTCATATATACCAGCAGAAGAACAAAACATGAGCTTGCATGATTTTCACAGTGGATGAGAACACTCCATCTCTCTAATAATCAGATGCTTTAGAGGAAGGGCATAAAAAAAAAATAAAAAAATCCTTGCAGCAGCCTTTCAGGGATAAAATAACAGGAGTTTTCATTCCCAGAATCAAATTCCTCTGGTGACCGGACTCCCAACATGTCCATAAAAATTCCCCAAGTCATCAAATTCAGACCAAGAAAATGACTGTGGGCGTGGAATTCAAGATGACCTGGTTTTCCCTGGTTACATTTTTGTCAAACACCTGTTGGCATGGAGCTTTGACATCACTTTAAAACCTTGTCTGTATTGTTTTCATATTTCCTTTCAGAACTCGATATTATAATTTTCCCTCTGAGATCAAATCCCTGAATAGAACTTGTTTGGGCAGAGTCTCAGAAGATAAGGGTGCAAAAGTCTGTATCCCGAGTTCTCTGGCTGAGATAAAGAGCAATAAAGTTCCTCTTGGCCTATAAACATGTTATGGCAGATAACCTCTAAGATAAGTCTCATTTAATGTGGAAAAGGTTGGAACAAACTGAATGTGTTTAAATGATGATTATGTCAAGACTCCTACTGAGGTCACAAAAGATTTTGTAGTAGAACAAAAGGCTGCCCTAAACAGGCAGTTTTCACTGGGTAATTCCAACTGCATGAAATTTTCACCCGTTTCATGATTTACTTTTGAGGTGCACTCAGTAACTGGTTGAGGAAGAAACGTGTGACTATAAATGAACCTGTTGGAAAACCACTGTCACCAACTTCACCGCATGCTGAGACTCAAGATATTACCGTTGCATTGCTGGGCCTCTGTTCTCCTTATCCAGAAAATCTGGCTAGAACAAGGAGTCACACCCATCTCCATCAGGGGTGGCTACATCCTGAGCAACGTCTAAGAAATTAAGCTCCTGCTCAAATGAGCTAAAATTTTCTCTTACCTTATTCTTTCCACACTTTCCATTTTCTGTTCTCCACCAAAAAGAAGAAAAGAGCAGAAAACATTATTGTCCCTCAACAGCACCACTGACTTCTCTTTCCACGGTACATCTCTAGGGGTCTGACAAAAGGAAGAAGCTGAAGGGAGAGGGGAGATTGAGAAAATTTGGAGGGAAGGGCAGCTAAGATAAGAAAGGGATGACCAAAATTATTGTGGGAGTCTGAGGTGGCAGAGCAAGCAAGGAAAACAATGTTGGATTTGTCATGAGCAGCTCAATGTAGCAGGAGAAAAAAACCATGCATGTTTTGGACACAGAATATATTATTTGTTGCAATAATCTTAGCAAATTTACTCAGCTTCAGCATAAATATCTGATCTGTGGTACAGTGGTGTATACATTTGAAAGCAGGATGGCTGAGCCCAGCCTCTTCCCCTGACCTAGATAAAAGAGTTTGTATTGTATAGCTTGGCAACATGGCAGCTTTTCCAGACTTCCAGGGGATGTTAGTTCAATCACTGCTGAATACATTTCACTAACTTTTCTGCTGTGGGCATGACATGTCTGCAAATACTTTTTCTGTATCTATTCACTGGGGATTCCTCTAGGCCCAGTAAAGGAGCCAGCAGTATCACAAGTGGTTGTAAAAGGGGTTCGGAGACCATAAGTAAAATGGCATTGGGAGTATGTGAATGAAAGAGTAAAGATAAGTAGAAAAAAAATAGCCAAGCTGTGAGCATTAATATTCTAAAACACCTTTTTGAAGGGAGGAGGAAGGGAAGAGTGAATAAAATTTTTGGAGTAACATGTCATGTAATTTCTGATAGAATGCTTACAGAATTTGAATAAAACAACAGTTTTCTTTTTTGGGGGGTAAAGGGAAAAATTGTTTTATTTTAAACTTCAAAAGTAAATTGATCATCTTCTCTATGTATCACTCAAGGTTAGCTTTTTTAGCATGCCTGCCTCAGCCAAAACCAAAAGATCTAATTTCAAGAGTGCTTGAAGAGCTTTTAGAAATAAGAAATACCAGTATTGCCTCTGCTTTTGGAATATCACAGAACAGTTGTTTAATTACAAAAACATATCACAGAATAAGCTAGAAATTGTGGAGCTTACCTTCCTACGATGGGATGGCACAATAAAATATGTTTCAATATTATGCTTCTTCAAGAAACTGTTCCTTTCATGACCATATCCTGGTTCTACCTCATAGTCCCCATTTAGGCACTCTAAGGTGGTCTTTGTAATGTGAACTTTCCTGGAGAGAAAAATTGGACATTGTTGCTTAAAGCCAAGGTACATTATGAGCTAGTTGCTACTGAAATGCCTTTCTGTACAGAAGATCATAAAGAGGTCAAATTACATGCAAAAAACCATTGTCGTAAAAAAAATAGTTTTCTCTTTTCAGCCAAATAGAACATAGAAATATTTCTATTATATGCATTTTCTAAACTCGAGCAGAGTGAACAGAAAGATAACTGTTGACTGTCCAAACACTTGCAGATGTGTAAGACTTGTTGAAAGCGGAAGTCTGCACATCATCTTCCACATTGTGTGGCTTTCTTAAGTGTTTACCTCACTGCCTGCTTGGAAAAACATCCTCCTGTTTGAAACTTTTGGCTTCACAGTCCGAATCTCTCCTGTGCATAAAGGACAAACTACTACTTCTGTTCCCCTCCATGTCTCTGACTTGTTTCATTTACTCATTCTGTTTAGTAGGCAGCTTTCTAATTCACTTTGTTTTGGCAGCACAGCCATCTTTGACACTATTCATGAGTTTTCTTATCCTGAAAACTGTCTCCAAGTTTTCTCCGTTCCTAATAGCAAAGCTATTACTGCTTTGCTCTATGTATTCAGATTTTTTTCTGCTGGAAGGCCTTAAGGTAAGGAACATACAAAATACACTGACAACATTCTCTAAGGCAGACATACGTAACAAACAGAAATTCACTCATCTTCACCACAAAAATAAAGAGGTTCCATTGTCCCCCTGGTCAGCAAATCATGATCTCGTAAAAATCCAACTGAGGATGGTAGGTCCCAGTCCAAATGTAAGTTGCACACAGAAGCACACCCATGTACCTTTCTGAAAGTGCACTGTGTGCTTTTAAACTGGGTCCAAGGCTGTCCAAGGAGTACTTAAAATTCCAGGCCGTGCCTTATGGATTGGCTGCAGGTTTATGTGCTACTGTATCATTTGCAAACACGCCATCAATATTTGAGTGCATAAATGTTTTGGTTTTTTTCTATAGCACACTACTAATGTTGGAAATCTTGCCATGAAAATGGAGTAAGGCACACCCCCCACATGTGTACAGATGCAAGGGTAAAAATTTCCTGGAATAACTAGAGGGTTTTACTTTTATAAAAGTAAAGCAGACTAGACTAGACTTTTACTTTATAAAAGTCTAGCATTCCACATTCCTAGCACTGCCTCGTTCCTACTCTTTATATTTGGCAGCTTCTAATAAGGATTTCATTTGGAAATGTTTTGCTTCTAATCTAACCTATTACTAATGTAAATATAAAGATCATCTGGAGAATTCCACAGGATAAATCACATAATACATTGATTGGTCTTACCAAACACAACCCTTCCTATAAATAGCAATTACATTGCAAATGCCTCAAAGAAGGAAATAAATTCCTCCCATACAGGTCTCTGTTTTGTTCTCTGTGGTTCTTTCTCAGACTTACCCAGGCAGTCCTCCAGCTTCCATTACATTAGCTAAAGTCACATCATTTGACCAGACATCATATTGCCATTTTCGGAGACCCAGGACCCCACAAAGCACCCTGCCTGTATGCAATCCAACTCTCATGTTGAGATCAACCTCTGTGGCTTCTGCAACAGATCTGGAATAGACAGCATCAGAGTATTAGTCTTTAGACAATGACATTGCTCTTGATTTTCTTCTTCTCTCCTTCTCTCAAATTAGCATATATATACCTGACTGAATAGACAGGATCTTTCAAAAATCTCAAATGATGCATTCAGGTACTGTTCTTTTCCTTCATTAGTTTCAAAGCCCTAACTAATTTCAAAGAAATAATTTTCTTGGTCATATTTTAAGTACTGTTAAACAAAAATCTCAGTATTTCTAAATTTCTTAACCTAATACATTAAAATTTGATTTTCCAGGTTTCAAAGGAACCCAGAAAAAATGATGTTTGATTACATTTAATAAAATAAAAAAAACCCCACAAACAAGAAAAGGACAATAAAGCAAGTGTAGTAAATGGCTTTGTCACGAAAATTCCCTAAGACTGTAACTTTTAGGTTTTGTTTGCCACTTTTGCAGTATTTGCTATCACAGTCCTACAGAAACTTAGACATTTTACTGGGAGATAAACAAAGAACTTTCTGGCTGTAACTCAAATAACTCACACACAGCTTACCTCCTGCACTTTCCTGTTTATCTTGTGTCTCACACATATTTGCTTTTTTTTGCCATAAATATTCCCTTTTCCTGACGCATATTTATTTAAAAAAGACAAGCGACCACAATGTGATTGTTTGAATCAAAAGATGATTTCTGAAACAATCTTATTAGGCTTAATTTAACCTGACATGTAAGTAAGCAAACATGTTTCAATTCTACCATTACTCCAGACTGCTTTCAGGTCAGTATGGAAATGGGCTAACTGGCTTCTTTTTACCAAAAATCTGTCTTAATATTTCTCTTTATCCTAGCCTTGGGTTTACTGGTTGGTAGATTTTTCTCTGTCTAATTCTTTTTTACCCCCACTTCACCCATATAAAGATCATACTTGATACTATATGGGCTAACAATTTCATCATGAAGGAGTTTAATATTAAACACTAAAGAAAAGATTGGTCTTGTGAGTGAAATATAAACTTGAATCACTCAAGACTTGCATTTAATTTCTCTCCTCTTTTACTACAGCTCGTTGTGACTCAAAGTAATGTTATCATCTTTCAATTCTCCACCTGTAATATCAAAATAATACTTTCTTTTCCTTACTCCTTTTGTTTGCAGTGGCTTGATCTCAAGGTAATAGCGTAAAACATTCAATTTGTAATTAAAATAATATAAAATTATCTGGAAAAAGAGCATAGTATAGACCCCAACACTTCTTCTCTGTGCAGCACAGAGGGTTAAAAATAATTTTTAAAATGTTATTGTCTCATTAATGTTGTCACAGTTCAGATTTGTGATGTTCTCTTAGTTCACCATTTCATTAAAATTGCACTTGAATGAAAACCTACTCAGTTAAAAAGTAACTTTTTTTCCCCAAGTGTCTCAGATTGTCAGTATTCTTGGATGATACTTATTTAATATTTCATGATATTTTTCCAACTGATATTTTCACCCTATGCTACTGCTAGGAAACTGTTGCAGCTATTAGTAATCACACAGAGTTGTGCTGTGTCTTTACCTTTATGGTATGCTTAGTTAAGCATCATTTGCTATATTGAGACTGAAACAGCACAGACATATATATAAATGATTTTACGGTTTCTGCAAGAAAATAGGTATGAAGAGGTACTAGTTGAGAAGGCAATTGGATAGACAATGACTCCACTCTACTATATTCTAATCAGTTCAGTTACTCAGTTACAAAAGTATAGGACAAAGAAAATGATGAAACCAATAAATCAGTGCAAGAACAGCAGATGAAGAGTGATTATAAACACTAATATCTTTCCAAAGCTCCTGCAAGAGTGGCACAGAAACCACCTGTAACTATGGACTTGCACCTGTAAATTAAATCTAACCTCCAGAGATTTTCATTGTGTACCTAGGAAAGGAGGAATTAATTGGCAAAGTAATTATTAAAAGCATTTGCAATTTTGGTGCCACACTAAGGAAGGATTCTTCATTTCTGTGAATGCAGGACATGCTGTAACTCGCACCCTGCATTGACTTGTGAATGCTGAAAAGGAGCCTTGAAGCTAATAGTCTTACACATTACATGCAGAGTTAACACTGTGCATAAATCTTGGCAGCTTTTTCTATTACAGAGACACCTGGCATTCCACAGCTAAGTTGCAGTCCAAAAAGATACATGGGTGAATAAATGAAACTGACTAAATCAGTGTAAGGCATAATTTCCAGTATGTTTTTATATTTAAATTTTCCAATACATTTAATAGGAGATACCTGGCCTCAATTTAAGTAAGGAACTCTGCAGCCATGAAGTGCTAAAGTACATACCATGTCAGCCATCACTAATGTGAGTAATGTGGAGATCTCTTTTGTCCCTATAGGGAATCTAGGCCTACCACATATTTCAGTCATATTTTATGCAACAGCACAGAAAGGCTTATGCACAGCTTTCTGGAAGATTAAATATTTTCTTGTCCTATTTCTACTCACTGCAAGTCAGCTTTCTTTTATTCAGTATCTGTTCCCAGTCAAGCCTCAAAAATGACTCCAAAGAGTCCTAAAATGACTTGAGTGTTAGCGGGCTTGTTGTGTACACTGTCTGCTTGACAAAGCCTGGTGGAAATTAAAGGAGCTAATAATATAAGCCACCTAATGATAACTTAACCTTTGTATCTTCACCTGGGCATGCCTATTGTGCCATTAACAGACTGACCTTACAGCAAGACCATACCCTGCAAGCCAAAGCGTTTTAGGATTACACCTTGCTTGCCCGTCTATGTTCCCCTGCATAAATAAGTACCTATGTAATTATCTTCATCAGCGAACCTGCAAGTGTGTGTTTCTCTGTTCTCAAATTAATATTGGGGGGAGAGGGTGAGGGTGGGGTGTTCCCTTTAAACCAGTATATAAAACCTCAGGCTAAATGTAAGTGGAAAGCGTGAAATTCAGACATTGATAAAGACCACTCCAGACCTTTGACCTTGCTTTGTCCCACCTGGCTTGAAAGAGAGGGGGAAATTTCTTCTGCTTTTAGAAATCTGAATACGGTAACAAAAAGTAAATGAAATGAGCACAGAAATACAACATGGCCGATCATACTCCTTGTTAAATAAGCTGGACTGTATAATGTATCAGTGAATCGCGAAGCAGAATCTGAAAACACTTTACATTTTGAACAAAAGATTTCCAGAAGTAGTCAGTAAAAAATCAAAATCAAGAATGCGTTTCTACATTTTCCCCAGAAACTACAATTTGTTTCAGGGGTGCTTTCACCATTATTAACTTTGAGTAGGAGAAAAAGCTCATGAACAGTTCATTAAATTTTCTGAATTTACCTTAAAGACCTGTGTGCCCTTTATGCAGTTAATTTCCAAGAATATACCCCACTGAACAATCAAAAGTGAGGAAAGTTAAGTAATATATAAAGAATAGGCTTCAAATATAAAAGCAGTACCAAAATGATATTCCCAAAGAACATCAACATTTCTGCATTAAAATATCACAAAAGTGTCCAGTGATGCATTTTAAATTGTAAATATATTTCTGAAAAAATACCAGCACTTCACAAACAAGCCATGAACAGGAAAAAGAAAAGAAGTTTCTCAAATAAATTATTCGTTATAATTTATTCTCTCCTAGGTTCAGATACAATATACTCAAAAGTTTTCCAAATGTTAACACAAAAGTAGGCCTAGAAACAAATAGAAATTGAAGAATATTTTCTTTTTAAACTAGAGATGTACAGTTTGTGTAAGTGACTAGTAAGATAACCATTTACCCTGACAGCTTAAGTATCCCAGCAAGCCTTTAAATTTTACTTCTCTCCTTAGCTACAAATATTTCATGTGCTGCTACAAACCATCAGTCATTCAGATCATCTGCAGAACAGCTCCAGACCTGTGCTGAATTTGAAAAAAAAAAAAAAAAAAAAAAAAAGAAAAAAAAAAAAGCTCTGCATCCCATTTCTAATAAGTTATTTAGGGCTTTACTTCAGGTTCAAAAATATGCGCACAAAAGTAGATGTTTCTCAGTTAAAGGCACAGACAAGACTGTTGGTTCAGTTACATACATTTGCTTTTTATATATGCATAGTTCTAAGATAAGGGTGCCCTTTAATTTTGCACGTCTCCCTAAATAGTTCTGTGTCAGTTCCGTTTCAACATCATCAGGAATTGGTGAATTCTGGGATGTTTATGACAAAGACTATCTTTCTGTGAAGTGCTCTGCCAGCCCAGCAGGTTATGGGAGGAGAGGCTGCAGGCCACGGCCTAGAGTACTGAGTAATACTTGTGCGCTAGGACACCTTGCCCTCTCTCCTCTTTGTCTTCCCACAAGGCGGAAGCCATATTAGTCCTCTCAGGCAATTAAGTTTTATTGTTTGAAAACCTTTGGTGTGCCATTTTGGCAGCTGTTTCTCCAGGTCGAGTTCCAGGTTTTTAGGCTTGTTTGTTTTTTGTGTGAGTTGGTTTTTTTAGTGGTTTTTTTTAAATATTGACCAGAGCTGCATGCTTTCCCAATACGTTGCTTACCTGGAACATGGCAGCAGAGAGCTAGGGCAGAGACCCTGGGCTGTGAAGGTCTGATGGCTTTAGCAGTCAAGAGGCTCACTGTGACAGAGGTACAAGCTGACTAAGCTTTCACCAGTGATGCTAAAGTCAGCTCATGGTAGACAGCTTTCCGCACTGCTGAGAATTCAGTTGCTGGTTCTCCCACAATTCAAGGTTAACTCACTCCTACCAGTCCAAACTTACCCAGGCCTTGGACCTCTGGAGGACCAGGGGAAAAGTGTCACATGTTGACCTCTGGAAAGTTAGTGCTTATCTCTTCTTCCTCAGACAAAAGATCACACAGGAAAACTTGGCATTTCAATTGGGCTCCCTCAAACTGGCTGCTGTAGTTCCTCTCCCTTCCCCATGGGAAGGACATGGTTCAAACATCAGCCTCCACAATGACCCATGCATCCAAACAGCAACACAACGTGCATGTGCAAAATAAGCCCAAGTT